GGTTCATATCACACACACAGCAGGATCTGAAAAAAAGTCAATGCAGAAATGAATTAGGTTTTTTATATATATATATATATATATATTTTTATTTTTATTTTTTTTTTTATATATACGGGAGGGTTTAAAATCATAAATAGTGTGAATTGGCTAAAGAAGGAGCTGGAAAATGTATCCTAAGCTTGGTGTGGCTGGAGCTGCTCCTGCTCTGTCACCATGGGCACAACATGGAAGGGTCTAATTCTCACATGTTTTAAAGAGGATAGGTCTGGTTTTAGGGATGTTAGCTCCAGTTTATGGATGATAGGTCTGGTTTCAGGGAGGATAAATGTGTTTTTAGAAATGATAGATCGGGTTTTAGGGAAGATAGGTCTGGTTTAGGGACCCCTGAGAGTGGGGTCCAAGAGTGCTGAGGTTAATCACTCATCTGCTCTGGCAGCACCAGAGACCCTCAAAACCTCTGGACCCCAAGGTGGATCTCAGGTGCCCAAGTCCATCTTTGACTGCCCCATTCCCCAAAAGCCCTGTAAAAGCTGAAGATACCAAAACTCTCTGAATTTCAATAAATTCTGGTGTCCCACCCTTAAACCTCTGTTAGGTACAAACCCACCCTAGACATGGTTTCATGCTTTGGCTCTGTTTCTCCTGTGCAGCTTGGGAAAGAAGAACTCTTATCCGTGCCTTGTTTTGTGGCATCCTTGGGAAGGGGGATGGTCTTCTCTGGCCACCCCAATTTCCATTTTGTGAGAAAGCTGCTGCTTTGCTGCTCTGGTTCTGCTCCACACTGGAATTCCCCTGCCAAAGGAGGTGAGGGAAGGTGAGGTTGGATCTGTCATGGACGTGCTCTGACAAGAAACATCTGCTGAGGAGCAGCTGTAGTTTGGGAAGGACTTCCCAGGGAAGGGATCTTATTCCTGTGGGGTTGACCTTTCCTTCAGGTGGAATTACAGTATATTGCCAGGAATGGGGTGTTTTCCCCTGTCTGCCTTCCCAAAACATTTGTACACCCCGTCACTCACTCAATGGGTCCTTGGCAGGACTTCTCAGGGTAATCCTGATGGTTTATTTTAATGATTAAGCCCAAATTCCTAGCTGGGAGCAGCCATAGCTTGTGGCTCCTGCTCGGTGGGTGACATTACCCCTTCTCTGATGGCTCTGTGGCTGCAGGCACAGATGGGAGCCCAACAGGCATCAGCTCAGGGGTCGGCCTTGGTGGTGCTGAGGGCACTTGGGGAAGGCTGGAGCCCTCTGAGGGAAGCAGGTGCAGGTGGAATGAGGACACTTCAGTGCAGTAGAGGCTGGGGGCAGTTTCTGCTCTGATCCTGGTGGGATGTTTCATGATCCCAGGTCATCTCTCCAGTCTGAGCATCAATCCCTGCTCCTTTCTCATCCAAGGATCGTATTTTTTCCCGCATCCATTTTCTTCCATGAAATGAAGTTTCCAAACCTAGGTCCAGCCCATGGGAACAAGTTTGGCTCAAAGAGCATCTCCCAGTGCACAGTGGCCCAGGAAACCTCTCCAGCTGATCAGATCTAAATGGATCTTGATGCCTTTTGATTCCCAGTTCCAGCACAGCACCATGTCCTATGTCCCACATCCTCCCCATCCCTGGAAGTGTCAAAGGATAGGACTTGGAGCAACATGAACTAGTGGAAGGGGGTGGAATGGGATGAGCTTTCAGGTCTCTTTCTATCCAAACCATTCCATAATTCCATGATTAGATGCTGGACATGGGACCAAATCCCTCTGCCACAGAAAGACGCAGAAGGATGATGGTTCAGGATGAAAACTGCCTTTAATTCTTGGGAAAAGCAGCATGGAAACCCTATTTTTCACTAGGATCACTGGAGACACTGCTCTGAGATGGATGAAGCTTTTCCAAGTACTGTGTCCTTCCAGCAGAAGGGGTTTGATTTGCAGGTGACATGGGATGTGTGGGAAGAGGATTTGGCCTCTCCTTTCAAGGCTGAAGCTCCTGCTGGGCCACCTGGTGAGCAGAGGGCCCAGGGGAGTCCTGTGGAGTGGGATACTCTGGGAACCCTGATTTCAGTGCCTGTGGTGCTGCTCCTGGGCATTTTTGGTGTTTGTAGGGAAGGATCCTCTGGCTCCAGGCTGGAGAAAGGAGGACCTGTCTCCAGCTCAGCATCTGCCCCTCATTCCTGCCCCTGCTGCCCTCCCTGCCCAGGGGAGAGGCTGAGCTGACTCAGGCAGATCCTGCCCTTCCTGATGTTTTCAGTGCTCCTCCTTGGCCAGGTATTCGGCTCAGTTTGGGATGGGCTGGTCCCCAAAATGGGGCTTTTCATCTTTCCTGGCTGCACAGAAATCCTGCTGGAAAGGGACAGGCACAAAGGAAGGTGGGGATAAGGAGGAGGAGGGGATAAAGGGTTCAGTCCCATCCAGCTGAACTGCTGTGTCCTTCCTCTGCCATTCCCTGTGTGCTCACAGCCTGGTCTGTCTTGAATCCTGGTGTGGTTGGATGCAGAGTGATCCCAAGATCTCCCACTCTGGATGTGTCACTGTGCGTGGTTTTTTGGGGGGCTAGGCTCAGGGAGATTGAAACCATCCCAGGGAGCCTTGAAGGTGCTTCAACCCCCTTGGACAAACGCGGGCAATCTGACCCTGCCCTGGACACTGGGGGTTATAGCCAGCACCTAAAACTCCCCTTCCATGATTATTGACTCAATAAGTGCAGGCAGAGTGGAATAATTTATTAAGTCTCCCCAAGTAATTGGTATTTAGTAATGAGGAATAAAGTGGGAATAAGCTGCAAGGGATCTGAGTGAGGAGTCAGAGCAGGACTGATGGAGCTCTGGAGGGAATGGGAGGGTGAGCAGGAGCCAGGTAAGGGAGCTGCCCCTGGAATGGGAATTGCCTCTGGAAAGGGAGCTGTGTCCGGCTGGTCACGCATGTCTGGGAATGGCCAGTGCTGTGGCCATGTGTGGGACAGGGCAGAGCAGCTCCTGCTTCTACTGCTGGAGCCTCCCCGAGGTCAGCTCAGGTTTAATGAAACAGAAGAAGGAGAGGATTTATTTTGTGAAATGTGTGGTTTGGTTTGTTTTGTTCAGTTTGGCCGCTGGCCCTGGGCTGGGCAGGCGTTTCCTGCTCCGCTGGGGACTGGGCTGGGCTTGGAGGTTCCAGTTTGGGACTCAGCACTGCCCAGTTTGGGTAGGGGGTTTGGTTGAGAGCCTCTTCCTTTGGGTCTGCTCTGTTCCCTCTCCCCTGGGAAAGGGCCAGGCTGGGGACATGGCCAGGATGTGCCAGGGTGGGACAGAGGGGCTGAGGGAGATCCATGGCCCTCGAGGGACACTGCCCAGCCCCAGGTGGGCACAGACCGGGAACACTGCTGGGACGGGTGGGGGATACTGCAGGGATGCTGCAAGGAGAGGAGGTGGGCACAGAGGGGACACTGTAGCCCTTCCTCCCCCTCTCCCCCGCCCCGTGCTGGGATTGGGCTGTGTGGGCTGGGAACAGAAGAATTCGATGCCAGACTGGGGGCTATTTGTGGACCCTGGTTTGGGGGGTGGCTGGGGGGAGCTCTGCCACCTTCCCAGGCTCCTTTCCATCCCTGCTCCTTCTCACTTCATTATTCCTACTCTTACCTTCACTTATTCCTTCTCCCCCCTCACTCCTCTCCCTTCTGTTGTCCCATTCCCACCTCCTCTTTTCCTTGTTTTCTGCTGCTGCCTAGATCCATCCACATGTCTTCCCTGCTTTCTTCTGGAATCCCAAATCAGGCCCTTTTTGATTTCTGGGTGAAACACGGGAGAAGCTGAAACTCAGCCCCAAGCAGGCATCACGGCCCAGGAATGTCTCAT